GGCCCCCATCCGTCGGCGGCTCCCCCCCCTCCCGCCCCCCACCTCGAGTGGGGCTGGGCTGCTTAAAAACCTCGGTGAGTCTCCTCCCCTCCTCCTGCCCCATCCCCCCCCTTTCCCTTCTTTCAATCCACCCCCCCCGGTCCAACAGCACCTCCCGGGGAGGCGGAAAGGGGGGAGATGCTGCTGGGGATGCAGGGGCTGGGAGCGCAGCTCGGGGCGAGGGAGATAAGGAGGTTAGAGCAGGGCTGGAGGGGCGGGAGGTGTTGGGCCCTTTTTTTGGCGGGGGGGAGGTCGGGAAGCCGCATAGGAGGCGACCCGGAGTCTGAATCTGCGGGGTGCGGGGGGTGGTGGTGGTGCGGGGGTGGAAAGGAGAAAGGGGAGAAATTAAATTAAGCGCACAATGAGGGGGGAGGAGGAAGAGGAGGAGGAAGGCCCGGCCCCGCACACGCCCCACGCGTGTCGACACGCAGTGGGGGGGGATGCAGCCCTGGTGAAGGCAGAGCGTGTCGGGAGCAAAACGTCCCCTCGGCTTTTTCCCCCTAGCCCGGGTGTTTTTTAACAGCCCTTGATGTCACGGTGCGGATAATAAACTTAGAAAGGGTGGATGTGCGACGGGCCGGGGAACCAGGCAGCGTTTCTGGAGCAGTGGGTGCCCGCGGTGGTTCTTCTCGGTCTCCTGCTCTGGGCTCCTTCGCTGGTGCCAGCTCCAGGCCTCGGTTTACGGGGATTTGGGTTTTTTAAAGCATTTTGCAGCCCACAGGCCACGGGCAGGGGCCTACGAGAGAGGGAGATCGCTGAAAATGCTTGTTGGATGGGCTCGGAGGGAAATACCCCACCCGGGGATAAAATGATCCGAACTGCTGTTTTCTCTACAAATCCTTGGGAGATCCTAGAAAACAGCCTCAGAGACGGGAAAAGTTGGACATGGCGTGGGGAATTACAGCCGGCGAAATAACTCCCGGGACTGATTTCGATTTGACGAGCAGATTCCCCAGGCTGGGCTGAATTTAGCAGCCTCAGAGATAAGGGGCAGATAAGGGTTGATCCCCCGGGGGGGCAGCGGGAGCCCGGCAGGCGGCCCAGGGAAGGGGGAAGCCGGAGGCAGAATCCCGGATCCAAGGGATAAGGGTGGGAACGAACCGGGAAGCAGAAGCGGGGTGCGGGGATACGTGCCCCTCCAGCCGGGAAGCCCCGGACACGGAGGCACCCGCGTGCGTGGACAGCCCAGGACGGAGCCTTTCCATGGGATTCTCCCAAAAGGAGAGGGCAGAAAGAGAGGAGGGCAAGTGGATTCTCCCCTCCGGTCGGTGAGCACCCTAAAAATTACAATAATATACATATATGTACATATGTATATATATATATAAAAGGTGAGGATATAAAAGGATTATATATATAAGGATATATAAAAGGATAGGATTTCCCTATAAAGGGAAATCGAGGCAGTTTTCAAGACGGATAATACATATATTTTTAAAAAAACTTATAAAGAGAAATGGAGGCAGTTTTCAAACTGGGAAATATATATATGTGTGTGTGTGTGTGTGTGTGTGTATGTATATATATATTTAAAGCCTCGAAGAGGAAATGGAGGCAGTTTTCAAGCCGGGACAACTTTCGGGAAGGGGCTCGCTCGGGCCCTCGCGGCGAGGGCGGGCGGGAGGAGAGCGGCAGGGAAGCGCTACCCACCTTCGCTGCTGGGGGGGACAGGGGGTCGTGGGGCAGGGTCCCCCCGGCTCCGTGGGGAGGGCGGCAGGGCTGAGCCCACCCCGCACCCAGCCCCGGGCTCCCTCCTGATCCTGCTCCGTGCAGGGAGGGAGGGCAGGGGGCAACGGGGCTCCCCCCGGCAGCTCCCCGGTGCCGCCGGGCTCCCCAGCCCCACTCGCTGACTGGTTTCCCCACGTCACGTGGAAGTGGGCGGCGATGGGGCGAAAAGCGAGGCGGGGGGACACGCAAACCCACGCGCTGGTATCTGTTGCACCATCAGCCGGGCGCCAGGTTTCATTGCCAGGCAGGAAGATAAATAAATAAATAAATAGCGGATAATTAAATAAATAAAATAATAAAATTAAGCCGGCACACGGTGCGCGCACACGCGGCCGCGCGGCAGGCAAAGTCCAGCCGCGCAGCCCTGCTCTGCACCTCCTCCGCGCACACCTGAAGGGACACCCGTGCCCATGCAAATAAAATAACAAAAAGATATATATATATATATACGATTTTTGTGTGTTTTCAGCAGGGAGGTAGCCGCTGCCTTTTGGTGGCAGCCCCCCTTCCCTAGGGAGATGGCAGAATCTGCAAATTCAGGGGACATCCCAGCCGCCCCCCCTCCTTTCCACCCACTTTTTTAGGCGTGCTGCTCCCCCCCCTCAGGGAAGGCACCCGTGTCTTGGCCCTCATCCACGCGATGCAAAAGGCCACTGGGTCTAAACGTTAATAGAGTCACGCAGAAAGAGACCCCGCTTTGCAGAGACCAGGACCTCGCTGCTGGAGGGTCCTTGCCAGCTCCCCTAGTGGAACCTCCCAGTCCCAATGTGTCTCTGCCCCCAAATTCCCCTTTCCCCCTCTCCTGAGTTGGGAGTCACATTTCGCTCCGAAGTGACTTCAAATTCTCCTTCTCTGAAGGTCTGCGGAGCCGGGGGAGTTCCCACACCAAGGAACTGTTCTGCAGCCCCTCTTTTATTCCCGCAGGAATAATGCTCGTTAATAACGCTAGTAATAAGGTTAATAACGTTAATAACTCTCCCCTTCTCCTCGAAATTGGGCACATCTCTCGGGTTTGGTAGTCCACGGAGACCTGGGAGTCCGACTTGGACTGGGGAGGGAAGAGGCAGGTAGGACAGGGTAGAGCGGCTGCAGTTTTCTGGCCCCGAAAGGAAAAACTCCGATGAAATTAGAAATCTCTGGCCGAAGGTGTTTTTTTTTTCTCACAGTTTAAAGTAGTCTGCGAGGTTTAGGGAGCAGAGAAAATATAATTATAATTATCATTATAATTATAATAGATTTATTGAGGGAGGACGAAGCCTGAGCTCGGCGCTGAGCCGCTCCTCGTAGGACACGGGCTTGTCCCATCTTCGTCCCCCACAGACTTTTTCCCTTTTCCAGGCGACATTTCGGGAGCACCCGGGGATGAGCAGGGAGTTTGTAGGCGGGAAGCCCCAGTCAGAGGGATCCCGTCCCTGGCCGGCGCTAAAAAATAATAATAATTTAAAAAAGTTAAAAAAAAAAAGAAGGCAAAAAACCCGCTCAAAATAAATCGGGGCAACTATACAAATGTGGGCATGTATGTTAGCTATAGTTATGCTTTGTAGCTGTAGGTATGGGTATACACACATAGGCACGGACACACATATAGACACACGGGTGCATAAATACATCCCATATATAAATATAAGCAACGGCAGCACTATATGTGTGGCATCTATACTTTAAACACACGTTGTGCATAATCTGAATGTAGTTACATTTCAGCCACGTAAATAGTTATAAACACACAAATACAAATATTGCACGTAGATGGAATATAACGCATAGCAGACACACACAAGGATGTGTATTATGTATATGCATATAAGTTTATATATGCCCCTATATAAAAATACGCAGTGTAATTTATAACGCTTTATGTGTGCTATAAATACACATGTTAATACAGGGCTATCGACATGCAGGGGAGGAAGGAAGAGTTAAAGATATCGTTGTCTTTTTTTTTTTTTTTTAAGCAGCTGTGTATCCAGATGCACCGCAGTTCCAGAGGACAAACATATTGACATATTGCTCCCCGCTTCTTTGAAAAATCTCTGACTATTCTTTTTTCTGCCAAAGAAGTTAAATCGGATTTTTTTTTCTCTGATGTTTGTTGAATTTCGACAGAAAATCAGCGCTTTCTCAAAAACGAAAAGCAAGGGAAAAGCAAACATTTAATTAAATCCGTTTCCAAAAAGTCCAGGCAGCCTCTGTCTTCGTTATCGTTGCCAGGAGAGGAGAAAATTTCAAGGACCTGCCTTGATGGCGCAGCCTTTTTTTTTTTTTTCTTTTTTTTTTTTCGGG